CTTTGCCCCGCATACCTTCCGTTCTTTCACCTCAAAGGAGGTGTATGCAGGAAGGAAGCCAAGGTATTGGCCTCCAAACCTGGCAAACCCCTACTGTATTAGCCCTCTTTCCCCTGTTCTATCTAGGCTGCTTTCCCTTGTACGTGAACTCTCGAGAAAGCGATTGTACCCCCACAGATGGTCCAGCAAGCCGATGGGTTCGGTAAATAGTGGTTTGTGCTGACAAGCAGGACGCTACACAATCCTTACCTATCGCCTTGTTTCTGCTTGCTCTGATATCAATCACGTCTTCGGCCGACGCGCGACTTCCCTGCCTTTTAGGTAATGACTCACATCATGTTCCAGGTGGTGCGTTGGCTCGTTGAAGTCCTCGACGAGGACCGCCGGCAGTACAACAAAGAGAACCCCGACGAGAGCCAGGGGTCCGAGGGACAGCTGGGGCCTGAACTGCTGCATGTTTACGAGGCTCCGGGGTTCAACGCCATGCTCCGAGCAGCTGACTGGGCGGACAAGTACCGCACTCCGGCGTGCGGAGGAGGAAGGAACGGCGGCGCGCCTCCGAGCAAGAAGAAGATCAAGCGGAAGTACCTCGATACTACCAACGACCAGGTCTTCAACCAGACGTGAGTGTAGTGTTGCCTCCTCAAGGACAACCAACAGAGAGTCTCCGACGACGTGCTACCCCGGCCGTACCTGGTCGATCTATGCACACTTTATCGTCACTCACAAGGCTAGGCTTTCACACATCGGACAGATCATGAGCTAGCTCACCTTGTGTCCTTCAGGTCACCACCGAACCAACATTCCACGATCACCTATGTCCTTCAGCTCACCTCTGGCAAACATACCCTGATCGCCTATGTCCTGGTCGCCTCCCGTACGTAGGGGTCCAACGAAATATAATGAAGCGAGCGCGAAAAAGAAGGGGAGGAGAGAGAGAGAGAGGCAAACAGGTGTAGTTAGATATGGATGTAGCCTATATAGGCCACCACACAGAGGCCACCACTGCCACTGCACACACACACACCTCACCCGCCACCACCAGCCAGACGTGAACGCCGGACGTTATTTGATGGTGTAAACGAGAAGCTCTCAAATCTGTTGCTTGCTGCTGCTGCTGCTGTGTGGATGTGCACTACTTACTTTCCTTGCTAACTATGCTAGCAGCATGCAACAGGCTCTAAAAAAATCGCCCCGATGGCCCCTGAGTGTGTACGCGTCATTGTCTCGCTGTTTCGGGGTGCATCTTTTGTGGATCAAAGATTGGCCTGTCGGCAGTCGACGGAGAAAGACCGCAGATTGACTGACTTGTGTGCACTCGCTTTTCCCTCGCTTTTACGCTGCCAGCAGCAGGCGACGGGCTCTGACAGTCTCGCACCCGAAGCCTCCTATGATGTGTACCTTTGGCTGGCCTTGGTCTACAGCAGTCTCGTGTGCTGCTGTGCTTGTTGTCTCGTGTGTTGTCTACGTGTGTGTGCGTGTCATCATGTATGTGCTGCTGCTGCCGCTTCTGTTGCTGTGCTACGTCTTTCAGGGGATTCCCGCTCGGCGGCGTGAAACAACCAGTCAATATTCTACACATATCTCTGTCCTACATTATCGACATGTGATTGGTGGGAGCGCGGGTAACAACTCGCCTCCACCCCACTCAAACATCGATGATTTTTATTTGTGTCTTCCTGTCCAACATAAAAATGCCCTACGTATGGGCCCGGTTCCCTATGTCCTTCAGATCACCTCGGGGAAACTTACACCGAACACCTACTCGGAGTATGCCCTAACGATCAACAGGGACATATCATAACCCTCAACAAAAAGAGCTATTTAGCTCGATCTGCGTGGATCTGATCTGTCCTATGTGTGAAGGCTTTGGACCATGCATTTTCTACCGGTGTCTGATGACTGTGGACGTTTTGGGGGCTTTGCAATCGCCCTCGGGACACGGGCTGAGCGTCGCCTCCTGTTCTCTCTCGGCTCGCGCCCATTTCCCTTTCTTGCAGGGTGCGCACATTTTTGGGCAATTGCGTGTCCAAGATCGCCAAAGACAAGAAGCTGACGCCGGACAACATTACGTCCAAAGCAGACGCGGACATTTTCTTCAAGCCGTACCTGACGGTTTCGAGTCCGGCGTCGGCCGCGGCTGGATCAGCTGCTCAAGGGGCGGCGACGGGAGCAGCTGCCGGAGGGGCAGGAGCAGCAGGAGAGGCTTCTGGATAGAAGCTGTGCCCTCTTGGCCTGTACCACAGCCTGTTCAGAACCCCCCGTGCGCGGCGAAAGTGAACGCAGGTGGGAGGCCGCAAGGTGGCACCATCGACCGACCATGTCTCTTCGGAGGCGAGTCGCTGTGGTTTGGTTTGGCGTGTGTCTAGCTTTCTTTTGCGCGCACTGCCAACAGAAGGCATTTTTGTTTCGTTTTTTCCCGTGATGGGAGAAGTGACGACGCTTGCTGCATTTTTTTATTTTAGTCGTGGGGGCACGGATTTTTGTAAACTTGCGGATGATCATGTAAATTATGAGATCACCTCGTCGTGTACATATCCTCATATGTACAATAGTGTGAGGTCGTCGACGCTGCAGGGCGGACGGTACACTAGTCGAATGGTAGGGTACTCTGCGCGTAGAAAAAGACGGTCTTGTTCCGTTGTTGTTGTCGACGTGTGTGTCTTTAAATTTTGGTTTCGTATTTTTGTCTGTGACTGCAGACGGTGCTGTGTTTTTTTTTGTTAGCGCGGGCGGGGGTTCTGTAAAACTACGGGTGATCATGTGTTTGTCGAGAGAGGCTCAAGGGATGCGTGTGCATCCTGTTCATTTGTAAAATAATGCGAGGTCGTCGACGTTGCACGGCGGACGGTGGCGGTCGAATGGCACAGGGTTTGGTACCGTTGTTGTTGTGGTACATTGTCTTAGTTTTTACATCTGGACTGTCGTAGAGAGGGTGGTTACTCTTCTTTCTGTGGTGTTTTAGTCGTGGCTGACGGAGGAGGTGCGCGAAGCCGCGGACTTTCCTCTCGCCAAGGACTTTGTATCGTCTTATCCACGTGTTTGTTGCTATCTGGTGGTCTGACCCTTGCCGGGTTCGACCATGAAAGCTCGCGGGGTGTTGTTCAATTATCCGAATCATGTATATGCACGTGTAAAATATTGAGTTCCTCGAGGACGGTACATAGGCTGCGCGTAGAAGTAGAGAGGGGTGTCTCTTCTTGTGCCCCTGCGCGCGGGGACGTTTCTAGTGTTGTGGTCTGCGGGTGTTCGATTGTGTCGGTTGTTTTTGCTTGTCTTGTGATGGAGAGAGTGAGAAGGCGGGTTATGGTGATATCTCGGTGTGCGTTTTGTGGCATATGCTGTGTCTCTTGTAGCGACCATTCTCTTGGTCTTATGGTGTCTACTCTTGTGAGTTACATGTGGTGGCGCTTCGTGTTGTAGCCGGTCATCTGGAGAGGGTGGAGGGTGGCGATGATGACTCATGTGTCGCGTTTTTTTTTTTGCCGTGGGGGGAGTTGAGCGCGCATTTCCGCTACGGACTCCATTGTACTTGCGGGTATGTTTCTATTACTGCATGAGTTTGTTGCCTTTTTGCCGATATACCTTTCGCGCTGTGCGTCGGTCTACTGTAGAGAGGCACATACTGCATCGAGAAGAGCCGCTGTCGCTTTTTTTGGAATTTACAAGCATGTATGTGTGGATTCGCGGGAAAAGGAAGAACTCTATATCCATCTCTTACTGTCCTCGACCACGACGGCTGTGAGGTGCCGGGGGCGGGGGCGGGTACGACCTTCGCGTTGTCGGCCTTAGCGAACGAACGTGACTGGCTAACTATCTCGTACATTCACCGAGCCTGCCAGTCGAAGTGCTCAGAGCACCTAGGCAATCTCACGCTCGCGAACTAGCCTTGCCAAACACATCGTAGGCAATGAGCCTTGCCAATATCCGGGTCGAGCTTGCAATCCCACTTTCGCGAACAAGCTTGCCAATCGCCAATCGCACGCTCGCGAACTAGCCTTGCCAATCTCATGTTCGCGAACAAGCTTGGCAAGCACATCGTAGGCAATGAGCCTTGCCAATCACACGTTCCCGAACTAGCGTTGCCAATCTCAAGTTCGAAAACGACCTTGCCAAGCACATCGTTGGCAATGAGCCTTGCCAATCACACGTTCCCGCACTAGCCTTGCCAATCTCAAGTTCGAAAACGACCTTGCCAATCGCCAATCGCACGCTGGCTATAACTAGCCTTGCCAATCTCACGTACGCGAACGACCTTGGCAAGCACATCCTAGGCAATGGGTTTGCCAAACCGTTCTTCTGTCAGGGGTTGCCAAGGTTGGTGAAGGGACGGAGGTTGGACAACCCAACGGACTCTTCAGGGGCTCGACCTTGCGGATGACCCCCCCCCCCCCTTGCCGAAAAGTCCCCAAGGGGGTTCGACCTCCACCTGTGTGCCACCTAGGGGGCGATTTTTCGGCTACATTGTACTCTTACAGCAGTAGTGTCTCGCGATGAAATCCACGCAGAAAGACCTGTCTGTGTCCTCTGCATACGGCAATCGGTATAGAAATAAGAACAAGAACCCCGTTTATAATGGATAGGTGGATACCTGCTCCAAACAAGAACTTGGAAAATAAGAACATGTGCTCGGTTGGAGGCAACCAATAAGCGTCGAGCCTCAAGCTAAATAAGCGGTTCTTACGTGGTGGCGCGTTCTGTATTCGTGATGTCATCGCGAAAAGTACGTTTCCTTCCCTGAATATTTACACGCTTTGCTCGGCACACAACAGGTTGACATGGTATTGCTCACCATAGAGCAGCGGTAAAAGCGCAATGAGCAGCACCCGACACAGAGGACAACACACTTAGAAATACCCCGTCCATCTGGCCTGCTGTTTTCAGTTTTCAGAAACAACAGGCGCAGGGTGTCGCAACCTGGATGTTGCTCGCGATTTCTTCAGTCTGCCAGCTCATTTTTGCGGCTCCCATCTTTGACCACCACCTGCCCAAAGGTAGACGAGCTCAACAATCATAGGGCGGCAGCCGCGCTGACGGCCAGCATCATATAGATGGCCAATCATTCCGAAAGAGTTAGCGTTTCGGAGGCCCTGTTGCTCTACTGCTGCGTGGTGCCGTGGATTGATGTTGATGTGTCCGACCAAAAACAGATCATGTCGCCGCATTTTTTCCAACGGCATTTTGGTGAGGTGTGGCACACGTCTCTCACACACCTTATTGAGCAGCACCCAAGCACCCAATACCCACGAAGCAGCACGCGTCCGGGAAATGGTATCATATAGACAGCGGAACCGAAGGAATCAGCCCGTTGGAGGTCTTGGCGCTGCTGCTGTACTCGTTCTACTGTTTTCGTGTTTGCTATTTATGCGTGATTGCAAAACATTCCCCAGCACCAACAGCACCAGTTGAAGACGAGAGCACCACGCAATGTCTAGTTTTGGGCCAAGAACGGACTGAACGCCGCTTCTGCCGCTTGTCCATCTCCACAACAGACCTGGACATGAGTCTGGCAGGTCTTTCTAGCGTTCTCAGTGATCTTACAGCGCCCGCGGTGCGCTTGTCCGATGCTTCTGTCAAAAACACGGATCTCGGTGAAAGTAGCAAGCCCCAAAAAATCCCGGCTCCTTCTTTCCACGTCTTCGGGGAAAGACGCCTCCATATATGTTCAAGAAAACACGCTTCCGTGGAATATTCCGTGTTTTTTTGGTCGTTAACAGTACCCCTTAAGAAACACACATTTGATCGCAGACATCTTCCAGACGCACATACGCACGACCCCACTGGCACATCTACACAAAATCTACGCGCGTATAGGCCACCGCCGGCCGATTCCACGTCACCGCCCGGGTCGTTCTTTTAGAGACATGGAGGCTTGAGCATTTTCAGTCGGTAGGGGGCGCGCTTTTCCCTTTAGTTTCTTGTAAACCTCTGTAAAAATAGTCCGGGGCACCTTCAAGCCTGGGTGTTAAATTTGAGTTGTCTAGGTACAAATAAATACAGGGTGAGTAGCGCTGCCGTTGAGAGCGTTGGTCTGTCTTAGTATCAGTGGCATCTGTTCAACGAGGCGCTACCAGTGGGCACGTTGTTGTTCTGTCTTCGTACTCAGGCTGACAAGGGCATGGATGCGCAGACCTGTTGACGTCACAGAAGAAACCCTCCTTATCATTGCAAAGCGGATGAAGAGTTCTCCGTTCGTTGGTATTATTTCGTTCGTTTTGTACTTTTTTTTTTTTTGCCTTCACTTCAAATCAGCGCTCACAGCACTAGTAGTGCCGTTTACTCCAACCCGTGGTCACACAGAAGAGCTCCTCTCTACCCCCCCCTCCTGCGGTACTTTGCCTACGATTTTTAATGCGAGAAGAGTTCAGCACTCTCTTCCCTCTGTGTACACAAGAACGAGCGCTATCCACTAGGCCAGGAGCGAGAGAAAAACTCACTTTGCAAGAAAAGCTCGCTTACGCCGGGATTCGAACCCCTGACCAGACCTCTAGAAGGTTTCGAGGATACCATCTAGACCACCGGGGCGACCGGCTCTTTTTACGGCTGTCTGCCATTGTCGGGAAGAGACGTGTCCCCTTCCAATTACGGTACGCGTGCTTGCTCCAAATCGGCGGGCGCTACACCTTTCCGAGCCTCCCCGATGTTCTCTTTTTCCTTTGGCATGGCGGTTGGGTGTGAATTGCTTGAGGCGATGCGCACTTCCGTGTGATCGTACTTACTTGTGAATGTAGTGAATCTATCCACATCGGGCGGATTTCCTGTGCTCAAAACAGCACCTTCAGTGTGCCCTACATAGGTACTACCCGCCCTGTTCTGGATGATGGATAGTAGGAAGGCCCTCCGGCGGCGAGTTGTGCGACTTTTGTCATGGTCTATTCTGTCGCTTGCCTGTGAAGAGTTATGGATGGATCTCGTCCACACCCGCGGCGACTTGGGCACCTTCCGTGGGCGGCGTGGCAGAAGAAGGGCCCGGTGGTCGAAGAAGCTGTAGCCCCGTACCGAAGACATGCAGTTTTCTCCGTTATCGTTCGGGTAACGAACGAAGTTGGTCCGGAAGAACGTCATGCAGCACGCTCATCATCCCAGCAAGTGGCATGGGGAAGAAAGATAGATATCGTTGTTTACATAGTTTGTGTCCAAGAAATATATATATTTCTTTTGGTCTCCACTTCAAATCAGCGCTCACAGCACTAGTGCCGTTTACTCCTACCCCTGGTCACACAGAAGAGCCCCTCTCTACCGTCCCCTCCTGCGGTACTTTGCCTTCGACTTTTAATGCGAGAAGAGTTCAGCACTCTCTTTCCCTCTGTTTACACACGAACTACTAGCGCTATCCACTATTAGGCCAGGAGCGGAAACGAGAGAAAAACTCACTTTGCAAGAAAAGCTCGCTTAAGCCGGGATTCGAACCCCTTGCCCTGACCTCTAGACGGTGTTGAGATTACCAAATAGACCACTAAAAAGTGGAGGAAGGGGGATTTGAACCCCCGACATTTCCGATGCAAACGGAACACTCTAACCACTGAGCTATACCCCCTTGACTTAATATGCATTCGACGCATCGAGTCCATCTATCTGTATCATAGAAAAGAGTCTGAGACAGATTAGCAATGATTCATAGGGTCAGAAATATCTGTCTGTATGTCTACGATTTCCCAGACAGCATATTGGGACATCTCCCCTGCGGGTAACAGGCTCAACAAAACAGTTTGGTAGCTGCATTGTGTGTCTCATATTGTTATGTTGGGAAGGTGCAGAAGAAATGTGTTACGTACGTTGGGTAGTAGTCGGGCGTTTTGTGTGTGGCACCCTTTTAGTCGTAGGCAGTTTTCAAACGTATTTTCAGTGTGGTACGCGTATGTACCGGGTATGCATATATATGTGCGGACACATTTCGGAGTATGTGCGGACACACGGAGTGGTGTCACCATTTTCTTACCGTTTTGTGTAATTTCGTGTCGTTACCCTAGATGTGCAAATGGCACGGGAGAACATTCTCTCATCATTCATTACCTACCTCCTGACGTGGTCGCCGATAGAGGGGTGTGGTTGAGGTTTTTGTACTTTTCTCTCTACCGGACGTGCGCCAGGTGTGTGTGTAAGAAATTGGGCGGCGGGTTAGACTCGCCTTCGCTTTGTTGTCAAGGACGACAACAAACTGAAAACGTCCGAAACATTAACGAACATGATCTGCAACATACATACGACTGACAAACTACTGTCTGTAGTATTATTACTGTGTAGTATCTTTTCGCCGAGGGGAACAAACGGCAAACCGCTGACTCTTGATGATGCTGCAAAAGATCGCATGTATGCGCTGCTGTGTGTGGCGCTTTAGCGGGCCGCTCGGTATTGATTTCATTCTCCTCGCTGTCCGTTTGGTCTAGATATATATACATAAATATATGGTCTATGTAGACCCCACTATTTTCAATAAGAAGTGTAGTCTACTCCATAAATAGCAGATACTTCACTGCTGTTGTTATGAAAAGGCCGACGGTGGAGGAGATGGTTGTCTAGTTTGCCTCCTCACTTCCTCTGTCCTCCCTCTGTTCCGCGCGCGCGCCCAGGTCGCTCCGTAAAGACATGGAGGCTTGTGTGTTTCAGTCGGTAAGGGGACGCGCTCTTCCCTGAAGCTACTTGTAACAACTTGTAAACTTCCGAAAAAACTAGCCCGGGGCACGTATAAGCCTAGGTGTTCGTTTTGAGTTGTCTAGGTACAAATACCACAAATAGGAAAATTTTGTACTCGGAATTGGAGTAAATAACGCACTGATCGGGTTATTAACCTACAAAAAAGTTATATTAGCGCAAAAACTTAGCCACCGCATACATACACGGCACTCAGGCTGACTCTCATGGCTCCCGAAAGTTGGCCCGACGGATTTTTTTGGACGGGCATACCCCCACCCCCCTGATTTGCCACGGATTCGACCATCATAC